CAAAACACTTCTGGTCCCAAGCCTTTTGGATAAGGGACCAGATTCATACCAGCAGCCATATCCGTGCCTCTCTTTCTGTCTAGACAGAAAGTAACAGATAACAAACAGGAGAATACTGTTGTCCTTGTGTCATGCTGCTTTTCAGTTACCTAAATGTGAATCTTGGAAAAGTTATTTATTAAAAAAACAGTTCCTAGAATCCTAAAGCCAATGGCTGTGCTGGCTCTAGCATTCTAGCAGCTCTAATCTAAAAAGTAATATTTTCAGGTTCTGCAAATGTTAGCCTTCCACCTCTACAAGCAGTTCTGCCTAGCTGTGTATGAGCAAGTTGTACAAGACCACCCAAATCAGAGACTGGTTTTGATTCCTAAATAGCAAGTTACATATTTGTTACAATAATTTGTACTGCAAGAAAACTCTCATTCAGCAGAAAATAAATAGGTGAGTCTTAGAAGCAGATAACTTGCCCAAGAAGCTGAATTGAGGAGCTTAATTCCTACATACTAAATCACTCATTTAACTACACATTTCTTGCATATTTACCCTTTAGTCTCCAAAATATACATACGATACATAAGATGCACATACAGAGAGCGAAAGCAGTTTTTTTCCTGGTCCAGTTTGGTAATTAATCACACAGACAGCATTTATATTCCTTACCACAGTTCCACCATCTTATCTTGTATTATTAATCTGCCTCTTCAGAAATGCTGCACAGTTCTGTGTAAATTATTTTAAATAAATAAAATTGAATTTAAAAAAAAAAGAAATGCTGCACAGTTCACCTCCTCCTTGGCTTATTTTTGTCTTGGGCCTTCAAGTCATTTCTGATTCAGGGCAATCCTAAGATGAACAAATCACAAGGTTTCTGGGGCTGAGGGTGTGCGACTCACCCACAGTCACCCAGTGAGTTTCTATGGCTGAACCAGGAATCAAATCCAGAGTCATAGTCCAGTGCTCAAACTACTACACATGCACTTAATCAAAAATAAACTAAAGTAGTGCTGCTGTCAT